ACTATGGTGGTGGCACAGGGGTGATTTGGTGATGGGAAACCCGTGGGGATTACAATTGAGATGAAAAAAAAAATGTGAAAAATGATGTAAAAATAAACTTTTTAATAAAAAAAAATGCTAGGTGAAAAAAAAAAAGTCATCATTAAGCAAAAAGCACATTAAAAAGTTTGCACCTACCCTTTTTCATACATATCATCCTTAGAAGAAATTGGCTGTAAAAGCTCACTCTTCCAAGGTTTTTGAATTGCTGTTTTTATTCTAGGTGATCTCCTGGCAGATTTAGGATGTTGTAACAAATTGGTATCTTCTTTCTAAAAAGCAGGAGGATAATGAGCAATGTGAACCAACAGGGCAGAGAATAAAGCACAGTTCTATACATATACCTCAAAAGATTATTTTTAGAGTACAGGATTCCTTGCTTCATGTTACCATCTACTAGGTTGCTCAGTAAAACTAAAATGTTTTCCTTTCAACAGCTACTGTTCTCATGAATCTGTAGAAAGGCACACTCCCACATTAGTTGTGGAAATGTGAATTGTTTCATAGAATGGATCTCTGGGAAAGCAAACTAAAATTTACATACTCTCTTACTAGCAATTCCACTCACAAGAAGAACTTTTGCATTTAAATAAAAGTACCAAACCACAGAAACCTGGCTGTGGAACTAAGGTTACAAGGTGGGAGGCTGAAAATGGGGAGAAGGCACTATGAATTATGGTGGAGAGCTCAGAGAGCCTTTGTGAGTATGGTGTGGATCGGAGGTGTGATCCTATGCCTTTGAATCACATACGGTTTTATAAACCAATGCTACTGCTAAATAAATAAGTAAAAAAAAAATTAAGATTTATTTTTATTTATGCACAAAAGAACTGGGGTATAAGCCAGAGGAAGTGTGGGGGCCCGAGGGTAAAAGGACTCACCAGAGACAGAGTAGGGAACAGAACAAGCAAATCTACTGAAATGCACTGCTGAGGGGAGCAGCAGGTGAGATAGGAGAGGTCTCCTGCACCCTGTGGGTCAGCTCCCTGGCCAGAAATTGAACTCATGCTGCAGAGCACTGAAATTCTAAACCCTAGCCTCCAAATAAATTTAAAAAAAAAAAATTAAAAATAAAAATGTTCTTCTTTAACTTCCAATTTTAGGAAAACAGCAGGTTGAAACCCAACAGTTATTTAACTTTAAGAAAAGCAAGGCCAAAGACTTGTAATCCTGGACTCCCTTCATTATGAAAGAAGACTCTGGAGGAAGGAGATGGTAAAAACTTTTCATTATCCGGGCTCTCCCTGGTAGTGCAGCAGATTAAAGCATAGCATTAAGATGCTAAAGCCACTTCAGCATGAGTTCAGCATGAGTTGGATCCCCGCCCGGGAGGTGACCCACATGGCACAGCAGACTTCTCCTGACCCATCTGCTGCTCCCCTCAGCAGTGTACTTCATCAGTTGGCCTGTTCTGCTTCCTACTCTGTCGCTGGTGAATCCTCTCACTGCCCCTGCACCTCTGGTCTGTACCCTAGTTCTGTTTGCATAAATAATAAATCTTAAAAAAAAAAAAAGCTTTTCATTATCCTTTACTGAATGTGTTGTACAGCTAGTTTCCATACATGTGTGTGTGGTGGGGTGGGGATAAGATGGCAGGTGGAAAAAAGATAAGTAAAAATATCGTAGGACCATAAGAAGAGACCTACCTGTATCTTAACAGAACTATTTCTTTCACCTTTTGGATATTTTATTTTCATGGCTATTATGCCACTTAAAAAATATTTTATGTAAAAGTTAATTTAATCCAGATGTACAAGTGGAGGAGCAAGAAACAATTATTTGAGCGTAGGATATACATAAAGAACATTATGTAGAACTTAAAAGCAAGGAAAATTATGACACACATGGAAAAATGCAGAAAAAGTTAAAATAACCAGAATACAAAAGTATAAATGTATGAAAACTAAAAATTCTCATGCTTAAGAGAAAATAATCATTGCTTAGAAGTAGATGAGATCAGAAGTAACTTGTCTCTCCAGCTTCCAAATTTACAGTGGTTTTATTATTTTCATAATTTTAAAACCTTTATAATATGCCAGTTACCATTAGGATGTCATATTTGTTGCTAGAAATCAAGGAATGTGTGATGTTTTATTGTGCAGGACAAACCAAAATCCTATATGTACTCCAGGTACCTAACAACTACCAGTATGTTTTAAGAATTGTATAAACAGAATTAATTACCAAAGTATGTTATTCATGTAACCTCCTATGTCTCAGGGTTCTACTTCTACTTTAGTAATGAAGAAGACAGCAGGATATTAATCAGCACCCAATAAATGAATGGGACCACAAGGTGCTGAGCTTACTAAAAGCATATCATACCAAAGTGATCAAATTCATCAAAACATAAAGAATGATGTTGCCTGGGAGTGGGGGAAAGAATAACTTAGTGGGTACAGAGTTTCATATTTCAAGATAAAAATTGGGAGACCTGTTTCACAACAGCAAAAATGTACTTATACTGAAGAATACACTTGAAAGTGGTCAAGACATTAAGTTTTAAGACATTGAGTTTTAAATAAAAAGTTGTCTTATATTAAAAAAAAAAGCAGAGAAATTCAATACAGAGAAGGGCCTAAAAGTATTTAAACTTTCTGGCTCAGATGAAAGCTGGAGAATGAAGATGGGGGTGGAGGGGGGGAGACCTTGGGGGGAAAACTGACAAGAGGGAGGCGAGTAAGGAGCTGTTCCATTTCATGACTGTAATGCTAGTTACACAATATATACACTTGTCAAAATTCACTGAACCATAAACTTGAAAGGGTGAATTTTACTGTACATAAATTATGCCTTACCTTTTAAAATGGGAAAAGTAAAGAAAATAGAATTGAGTGCCACTCCTCAGAGTGTTTTTTGCCATGAGAGGCAGCATGAGCTCAGAATGAGTTATTCAGCTGGAAAACCAGTGACAGCACAAGGTGATGATTCTCAGGAAGCCAAATGATGATAACATGGGAGGTCATGGGCAGGCTTAAAAATATTCACTTTCTTTCCCTGCTCTTTTGATATTTCTCTCTTAATCGAGTTCCTTTCCTTAACTACACAACTTACCTTTTCTTAACCCCTTACCTCACCAATGTTGTACACATGTTATTTGTACAAATGTCTACATGTGATCAGGTGACTAGATAACTGAGTCCCACAGAAGTTTAGGTTTGTCAGTGGAGTGACATACAAAAAAAAAAAGAAAAAGCTGCAAGGTGCAAAGAAGTCAGGAAATGTCAAAAAAATGAGTAAGAAACCATTCATGGCCCTCTCTAATGGCACAGCAGGTTAAAGCACAGCACTGAGAAGCTTAAGGCCACTTCCACATGAGTTCGATCCCCGCCTGACCCCGAGGAGATCCACATGGCGAGACAGACCTCTCCTGACCCACCCGCTGCTCCCGTCAGCAGTGTACTTCCTCAATCTGCCTGTTGTGCTCCCCGCTCTGTCTCTGGTGAAACCTCTCACCCTCCGCATCTCTGGCCTGTACCCCAGTTCTGTATAAATAAATAAATAAATAAAATCTTTTTAAAAAAGGAAAAAGAAACCATTCGTGTGCCAAGAGAGAATAACTCAAATTGCAGTCCCAGAAGAGTAACTAGGGCACCACTAGGGAGGAAGCTTGCTGGAAAAGCCAGTCCTTCAGACCTCTGAATCCAGATTCCACTTGTAGTCCTGGCATCTCTGTTTTAACAACAGGTGATTCACGTTTGGTGACACTGGAGAACCAGCAGTCAGTAGCAGTGTCTCACACCCAAATCATTTAGGAATCTAAACAAGCCCCTGTTTTTTTGAGTGATGCTGAGTGCCATCCTACATGAGTTAAATCAGAATCTTGGAACGTGGGACCCAAGCATCCGTAGGTATTAAAAGCTCCTGGGTACAGTGAGAATGGCACACCTTAAAACAACTAGCAACAACAAATGTCGGCGAGGATGTGGAGAAAAACAAACTCTCCTGCACTGCTAGTGGGAATGCAAACTAGTACAACCACGATGAAAAACTGTTTGGAGGTTCCTCAAACTATTTAATATTGCGCTTCCCTATGACCCAGTAACCCCACTCTCCTAGGTATCTACCCAAAAGACACAAAACACTGATTCAAAAAGACACCTGCACTCCCATGTTTACTACTGCTTTATTTACAATTAAAAACATGGAAGCAGCCCAAATGCCCAAAAGTAGATGACTGGATAAAAAAGATGTGGTACATATACACAATGGAATATTACTCAACAAACCAAAAAAAAAACACATGTCTTTTGCAGCAACATGGATGGAGCTGGAAAAGATCATGTTTAGTGAGATAAGCCAGAAAGAAAAAGAAAAATACCAGATGGTTTCACTCATAGTAGGAGTATAATGGACCAGGCGAGAAAATAACAATAATGAACAGCTATATACCAGAGACATTTTATGGGGGTGGAATGGGGAATGTGATCAAAAACAGTGGGCGGAGGGAAGTGCACTGGACTATGGTGATGGCACATGGGTGATTTGGTGATGGAAAACCCACAGGGATTACAATTGAGATGAAAAAAATGTACAAAATGATGTAAAAATAAACTATTATATTATTTAAAAAAAAAAAAAAAAGCTCCAGGGTAGCTCTATTCTTTCTCTAGAGTTAAGGTCTCTCCAGTTCTAAAATACTCACAGTAGTAGTAAAACTTTAAATAACTATATTACACATATTCCTGTCTTTTTAAAATAAGCTATACTGGCTATGACCCATAACACTTAACATCCTATGACACATTTAAAGACTAGTAGGATTAATTTTAAAGATTTTCTTAAATCCAGGTCTTACCTACAGTTGTATCTCTATGCCAAAGCAGGTTTTCTAGTTTTCTTCCCCCATCCTTATCTTTTTTATCATTACTGTAAAAGAATTCCTATTATCTCTACTACTGTTATTGTTATTTCTCAATCATTCAATTTATAGCAACTAGCAAACTATTATGTTCCAGGCCCTGTTCTAGGCACTAGTGATAAACAGATAATAAATTCCCTTATATTCTAACAAGAGGTGAAAGATGTTAAAAAGATAAATCATGTGGTCATAAAGAACAAGGCAAATTAAAGCTGACAATAGATAATGCTGGAAGGCATCTGTGTTGTTCTGTGCAGTGTGCTTCTAACAGAGACAAAGATAGCCTGAGTGATAATGAGCGGGCACACATAGTACATGAGGGCCCAAGACATGTGGCTACTTGAAGACACTTCAAGAGAAGGGAGCAGCAAGTGCAGTGCTTCTGGGTATTTGCTTGGTGTTTCTGGGGAACAGCAAAGAAGCTGGTGTAGCTAGAGGGGAGTAAGGTAGAGAAGAGCAGTGAGAATTAAGGTGAGGAGGTTAGCAGAGGTTTATACAGTTATGTAAAACCTTTATGAGAGAGAGAAGAGACCACTAAAAATTCTGAGCAAGTAGATACTATCATCACATACTCTTTTTAAAAATAATATGTTTATTTGTACATCATTGTGTGCCTTTTTCCAGCTCACTTGTAATCCCCGTGGGCTTCCCATCACCAAATCACCCGTGTGCCATCACCATAGAACAGCAGTGCACTCCCCACACCCTATTTTTGATCCCATTCCCCACTGCACCCCCGTAAAATGTCTCTGGTATGTAGTTGTTTATTATTACTATTATTTTATGATCATATACTTTTTTTTTAAGATTTTATTTATTTGTGCATACAGAACTGGGGTACAGGCCAGAGGCTCGGGCAGTGAGAGGCTTCACCAGAGACAGAGCGGGGAGCAGAACAGGCAGATGGACGAAGTACACTGCTGAGGGGAGCAACGGGCGGGTCAGGAGAGGTCTGCCGTGCCATGTGGTCACCTCTGGGGCAGGCGGGAATCAAACTCATGCGGAAGCGGCTTTAGATTCTCAGTGCTGTGCTTTAACCCGCTGCGCCACCAAGGAGGGCCGATCATATACTTTTAAAGAATCTCTTTGGCTACCTGGTGGAAAACAGACTAGGTTTTCTTGTTTCATAATTTCAGCATGTACATTAACAATACCCTCTCCCAATGCCCCAAACATGGATATTTTACTATAAACTTAATAAAGATATCAAAGCATTAACATACAACCTACCTGTATCTCAGATATCTGCGGAATACAAGATTTAGGTCTTAAAGGCAAGAGGGTTGCCATTTGTGGAAAAGGGTCAATATCCTTCCTTGGTTTCTCTTGACGAAGATGCCAGAATTTCAGTTTAGCACTAGCATGTTTTGTTGAGCATGAATGAGTAACACAGAACCTTGGTGCCCTAGTAGAGCAAAAACAAATTTCAGATAAAATCAGGAAGTCAGTCTCAAAAATCCACAGCCGGCCCTCCCTGGTGATGCAGTGGGTTAAAGCACTGCACTGAGAAGCTAAAGCCACTTCGGCATGAGTTCGATCCCTGCCTGCCCTGGAGGTGACCATATGGCGTGGCAGACCTCTCCTGACCCACCTGCTGCTCCCCTCAGCAGTGTACCTCGTTGATCTGCCTGTTCTGTTCCCCGCTCTGTCTCTGGTGAAGCCTCTCACCAACCCTGAGCCTCTGGCCTGTACCCCAGTTCTGTATGTACAAATAAAATAAAATCTTAAAAAAAAAAATCCATAGCTTACAGGGCTCTTGTGGCTTAACAGGTTAAAGCACAGCACCATGAAGCCATCTGCAGCCACTGCAGCATGAGTTTGATACCTGGCCAGAGGCTGACCTACATAGTGTGGCAGACCTCTCCTGGCTCGCCTGCTGCTCCCCTCAGTCAATCTGCCTGCACTGCCCCCTATTCTGTCTCTAGTTAATCCTTCACCCCCAACACCTCAAAATTCAGAGCCTACAAAATGTGCAATATCTATCGCCACAACTGTCAGTTTTGCCATATGCTTCTTAAAAAAAAAAAGTAATTTCTACTTTTTTCTCTGCTGCTGCCTAAACTAAAAAAAAAAAAATGTGTTTTCTGTGATACAGCTATTGCCTGAAATCATGCCACTCATAAAAGACAAATTACATCAGGGGGAAATATTCTAATACTGAATGAGCACACACAAAATTCAACTGTATTTCTATTTACCAGCAATGAACTACTAGAAATGTAATTTTTTTAATGAATATGTAACAATTTCGATGCAATTAAGCATTTTCCTCAATGGCATTGTGCTTACCCACTGAAGTTAAGTCTCAAAAGGTCACATATTACATGATTTCATTTATATGACATTCTCAAAAAGACAATCTATGGTGACAATGATGGTTCAATGACTGCCAGGGTTTGAGTGGAGGCAGAGTATAATGACATATTAAGGTTAGGCAGCAGAGAAAGGAGTAGAAATTAAGAAGTGTATGGCAAAACTGACAATTGTGGCCATGGATACTGCACATTTTGTAGGCTCTACACTTTTTTTTTAGATGTACTTATGCATATAAGAACTGGGGTACAGGCCAGAGGTGTGGGGGGTGAGAGGATTCACTAGAGTATGAGAGTTTTTTTAGAAGTGATAGAACTTTAAGTGTTTAATTGTCATAGTGGTTTTTGAATTTATACAATTTTACATTACTGTATGTTAATATAAAACATAGAAGGGGAAAGTGTTTTTTTTTTAAAGATTTATTTATTTATGCATACAGAACTGGGGTACAGACCAGAGGTGCAGGAGTGGTAAGAAGATTCACCAGAGACAGAGTCGGGAGCAGAACAGGCTGACTGACAAAGTACACTGCTGAGGGGAGCAGCAGGTAGGTCAGGAGACGTCTGCTGTGCCATGTGGGTCACCTCCCTGGCCAGGGGTCGAACTCATGCTGAAGTGGCTTTAGCTTCTTAGTGCTGTGCTTTAACCCACTGCACTACCAGGGAGGGCCCCAAAGGACATGAGGATAAGCATTTGAATATCCATAAGCAAGGGGGGAAAAAAGCCAAAGATAACCATCTTCACCTAAACTCTCACCTTGTACAACATTTAGCTCTAAATGGACCATAGACTTAAATGTAAAACATAAAACAAGGCTTTTATAAAAAATTAGGGGAAAGATTCTTGAGGATCCAGAGCTAGGCAAGAGTTCTTTCTTAAGCTTGACACCAAAGGCATAATCCATAAAAGGGGGGACTGAATAATTTGACCTAGTCAAACGTTTTAATTTTGTTCTAAGAAAGACTCCCCCTTTTTTCTCTTTCAGATACAGTTCTATTTATTCTTTGTAATTGGTACAGGCACCATTTGGCATGGGGAAATTGCCCTTATTCCAATGACATGTTTAGAGTAAAACTTACCTAAAACTGTTTATTTAGCAAGTCCTTCAACATACCACCCTCCCAAGGAAAAACCCATACATGCTTTTTTCTTATCTTCATCATTTTCTAATGTCTAGTTCGGCCTGTTTAGCAGTGAAATAGTCTTCATAACTGAGCATGGTAACTTAAGATTGTGTAAGTTGAGTTTTCCATTTGCACCTCCAGTACTGGTCACCTCCAGAGGATTCACTCTGCTCACTTCTAGATTTATATATCCCATATTTCTACAGATCGTGGCTCCCATTTTTCACAATATTTTTCCTTACTTGATTAATCTAGTTTATTGATTTATTATGAAAGAGTAAATCTAAGGACCATCCAGAAGGAAGAGGTGCACAGGCCAAGGTTTGCTTAGGAGGCCATGGAAATTGTATTCTCCCTTATGGCACCACATCCCCCAAATCCCCAAGTGTTTACCAATCTGTGAAAGACTCTTTAAAGTGATCTTTGGAAAACTTATCTTTGAAAAGACAAGCTAAAGGCTGGAGGAAAATATTTGCAAACTACATATCTGACTAATGACCAGATAAAACAATGTCGCAAATATATTTAAAAAAAAAATCTTTAAGTTAAACAATATGAAAGAAAACAACACAATTGGAAAATGGACAAAAGACATGAATAGATATTTCATTGAAGGGGATATGAAAATGGCCAACAGATACATTAAAAAATGGTCAGCATTGAGCCCTCCCTGTTGGCATAGCAGATTAAAGCACAACACTAAGAAGCTAAAGCCACTATAGCATGAGTTCAATGCCTGCCCCGGAGGTGACCACATGGTGCTGCAGACCTCTCCTGACCTGCCCGCTGCTCCCCTCAGCTGACTGTACTTCATCAGTCAGCCTCTTCTGCTCCCCACTCTGTCTCTGGTGAATCCTCTCACCACCCCTACACCTCTTGACTTGTACCCCTGTTCTGTATGCATAAATAATTTTTTTTTAAAAAACATGGTAGCATCATTAATGACTGGGAAATGGTAATGTTAGACCATAAAGAGAGATCACTATACACATATCAGAAAGGCTAAAATAGAAAATTGTGACCACAACAAATAATGGAAAGGATGCAATGATGATGACCACTGGACTTGACTGCGTCTTTTTACCCTGTATCCTTAGCACAGCACTTGGCCTATAGTAAAAAAGCTGTTTAGTGAGATGATAAGTTTGCAACTCTAGCTATCTGTACATACACAAATATGTTCATATATGTCACAAACACAATGTGATAAGACATTGATGAGAAAATGGTCAGGTGTTGGGTATACACACAGTTAAAGCAGAGCTTAAGTACTGCCCAGTCTTACTATGGATTTCAAATCCTCCAAAACACCCAAATTATCTAAATGAAAGAAAATTTAAGGAAGGCCAAAAATAGAATTTTTAATTTAAGTATACATCAATAAAACAAAAAATTATAACAAACATAAGAAAAGTAAAAGTACATAACTTTCATAACTATTTTCTTACCAATACAGAAGTAAGGGTTTCACAACCTCAGATTGAATATTTTTTAAGTGTTCTTCATTCCACTGAGATCCATCCAGCAATTTAAATTTTGATAAGATTTCTGCAGAAAGGTAGCAATCTCCACTGCTCACGAGGTAGCATCTTTTCATCTTCTCAAGGTGTCTGAAACGGAATACATACAAATGGATAAAGTATTCAACTAGTCAAATATTTTCCCTTCTAAAATGTTTTAGACCAGTAATAAACTATATACAGTGGTAGCAATGTGAAGATAATATTTCTCACAGTTATGGGGAGAATAATCTCAGTAGCCTGAACAATAATCTACATGCCTTAGTTTCCAGACCCCATGAAGTTGGCTCACATGGTACAAGGGATTTTGCAGATGTGATGAGAGTTTTGAGAGGAGTTCCCTAGATAGGCCTATGTAGTCACAAAGGTTCTTCTAAGAGGGAAGCAATTACAAATACATCACTGGGAAGTCATAAAATAAAATGGAATGAAAAAATAAATAAAATGGAATGATTAATGTTAAAGTAGACTTAGAATCTACATGAAGAAATAATGTGCAAGTTCAAACCATCACTACTATTGGTATCCAAATGCTATGAAACCACAGACCTAATGAAATCAACTTTATGATAATAAAATAAGTTAATTATTATTTTATCCATGTAGAAGTATAAATTACATTTTTATATTTATTTCAGGTTTTCTACCTGTGCTAAAAATGGCCCAAATGAATATCCTATTATTGGTTTTAAAACTATTGAAAAATTAAAAATAGAAATACCTTTGATGTCTTCCAGGATCCTTAAGAACTTTTAACCGCTCAATATCCATCCATAGCCACCAATATCTCTCTCCTAATGTACCTTTTATAAATTTCTTAAATCTTTCAAACTGCTTTCTATTACCAATATCGTAAGTTTGGTGAGAAACACACCAGTGGGCCCTGATATCTGCTCCAATGTTCTCACTCTTTGAACTTGTTTGTTCCAACAGCTCATCTGACTTTTTCTCTGTGGTTTGGGCTGTTTCATTTAATACATTACTTGTGTAAGGGATGGGCTCAAAACGTTCTTCAAACACCACTTCTGTTACGTTGTTAAAATTTATAAAATCTGGGCTTTCTTTAAATGGCTCTCCAAGAACTTGATAAACAGCTGTCTTTAAAATAAACATTATGTAATTTCTTAAAAATTCTTCACAATTTGAGAAATGCAATATCAAACTTCCCTCAATATTCTGTTGAGTTTCAAGGTAGATTCTTAGAAGAGCTTGAGAAGGAGTGTCTTGTATAGATGTAGACCCTTCTTCTTCTTCTTCAAATTCAGAAATTAATCGAGGTGTTTTAGCTGGGCCTTTTTTTGTCCTGGGATGAACTCCATCATCAAAGATAACACTCTCTGCATTAAATCATACAAGTTTACTAGATCAGATGATAGATACAAACATTTTTTTAATTAGCAAGAAGTTAGTGTCAGAATGGTAAATGAGTTTACCACAGGTAGTAACCATCCAAATTAGTGATTTAAGGAGGCATCTAAAGCCACATTTGGAAGCAGTCGGGGGGAAAATGCCATCAGGAATTATTCCCTGGACACAGAAGTGGGTAAAAATGGCAGATAAACTAGAGAAATTAAATATAGGATGTTAGGATGTGACATCCCCAATACAGTTGTTCTTCAAAAAGACAGTATTTCAGGTTGAAATAAAATGTTTATATATATATATATATATATATATATATATATACATACATATATATACATGTGTATGTATATATATATAAAGGCATATCTTTTAAAGAATTCTTAGAACACATATATTAGATGGTATTTTAATATTTCATGTTGGATGATAAAGCAAAATTAATTACCATAGGTAATTACAGATTACAGATGAGTAACACTCGAGTCATATTAGCAATTAAAAAATTTACTACTTTATTAGAAAGATTCAATTACTATCCTACAATCTACCATTAAAATTACAAAATAGCCTAAGTACCTATGAAGTGCAATACACATGGGTTGTTTTAATACTTTTTTCTAAATACAGTCTATGCTCCTATTTCCTCTTTTTTTCAGAATCCAGTGAAATATCTGCTATAAGTATTCTTATTTCACATGGCAAACTTACCCCTGAAATACTATGGGTTAGGAAAACCCTGTTGTCTATGTCTCGCCCTCAATGACCATTTTCTCAGTGTTAGATTTCAAATCCCAGTGAACTGGAAATGCTTCACATGAGTTTTTAATGAAAATAAACACATCACATTTTCCCAATACTGACAGATCAGATTTTTATAACCCAGTAAAAGGACACTGTTTAAATTCAACAGACAGAACTGGAAGAGGAAGTGAGCTGTCATTTCCGCTACCTCCCTTGCTACTCTTTCATGTCCAGGTTATTACCTGCACTATATTTATTCTCCAATTTTCTATTTTACTGTGTTGAGGAGATCGCAAGAAACCTATAATTTCAGCTATTTTCACTTATGGAGATTAATTTCCTCTTTACATAGATTTAGATTCAATTCTAGAGAATACAGATGTATTGTCTCCAAAAAGTTGTTTATACTTTTCAAAGGAATTAGGTAAGAACTTTAGTAAATTGTTGAATCCCTCTCCAGAGTCACATCTAGATGTTTTTGTTTTTGTTTTTCTCTCTCTAGCAATATCATAAGTTAATGACTCTTATTACTGAATGATTTCTTCTATTTTTTTATGGAAAGTGTGTATCATCCACTAATGTCCCCCATGGTAGACATGTATCTGGTTTTCAAGCTGCGAAATAGTATGAACTTAGAAACAGAAGAAAATTCAAGTCCCAAGAATGGGTCTAATTACTTTTAAAAGAAAGACTGTGCCCACTTTACTTCAAAGGCTCAATAATATAAATTTGTGAACAATGGTAGGAAATAAGGGCAAAACATATTTATCACAAGTAGGTAAGTTTTTAAAATAATGATCAAAGAAGGACAACTAAAGTCCATTTATGAGGCACTGTTCCTATGAAATCTCTGGAAAATTTAAATGATTTTACCAATGTTCTATCACTTTCATACTATAGTAAATGGTACCTACTAAGTTACTAACGGTAGGCAGGGCATTTTCTTTATATTCAATATGTATCATTATTCTAATCTTATGGGTGAGAAACACATGGCTCCCAGAAGTGAAATAAGTTAGAAAAGTCACAAAGTTAATAAGAGCTGAATTCTAAACCCATAACTTTTCACTATACTAAGTTGCTTTACTACTAGAAAAACAGTAAGAAGTAGAGACCAAGCAGTAGGAGATCACTTTCTCTCCCCAACCACGAACCACGAAGAGCTACTACTATAAGACTAAGACATTAATAACAAAAGACTCCACGAGCAGTCCTGAGGTCATTCTTGTCCTTTTATGCTTACCAGAAGCAGATGAAATAACTGGTGAGTCACTTTTGTCATGGAATACACAAGTAGGTAATGAAAAATTTGTTACTGTTTGTTCACATTGTTTTGCTAAAGTAAACCAATCTTTTGTTTGTGTATAGGAAGCCTAGGAAGAAAAGAACACATTTGTTTGACATAAAATGAGCAGTATTCATCCAAACCTGGAGAAATCATTATGATAGTATTCAATTTGTTTAGTATAATAAATAAAAGGAAAAATTATGCCATGAAAGAAAAGAATGTTGTACACAGAAAAATCCATTAGGTAATAGAATAATGGGAAGAAACTTTCAGCTCATATTCTTTTCATTTTAGATGACCAAAGGAAAAAAAATTCTCCTTTCTTTCACCAAAAGCATGAAACCCTATTTCCTGGATTCACTACCAATTCATGTCATCTAACTCTAACTTGAATCACTACGGCTCAAAGGTCCTTGTATCTTTTGTCAGTTGCTCCTATTTACAATTTTCCCAATTATTTCATGGTCCCAATTCTGTCTTACCTGACTCAGTGTTTTTGAAAATTCTTCTCTAATGACAAAGACTTATTCCCCATAGCACTGGCAGGAAACCTCTCTGAAACAACTGCCCCTTTGTCTTAGATTCAGTCTTCACTTCCTGAAGACTGACACTGAATGTTGACTTCAAATTTTCCTTCATTCTGTGTACCCTTCAGCCAGCAGACCCAATTTCCAAACTGATCCTCGGCTTCTAGAACCCCAGTCCTCAGAAACTCCCATCTCAGTTCTCCTAAAAAAATTCATCTGCTTGCTTCTCTCAGTAATGTCCTCCCTTACTTCTCTATGAGGGTCCAAGCTGTTCAAGTAAGCAAGAAAGGTAATGGCCACCATTACTCTTATTTCTCATTTTCCCTCTCTCCAACTGAGTCAGCTGACTGGTCCTTAGCTGAAGGTAAATGGATAGAAAAAGCAGGGCTCATATTTTCAAATGGAATAGATATGACCACCAGATATTCCTTGCAGAATTAGCATGGCAAGTCAGGTCACACAGTGAGAACAAACACAAGAGGGAGGATGAGGTGCCGTGTGTGGGGGCATTGGACTTCTTAGAGGTAAGGCTTCCTGGTGGAGCTTTGAAAGACCTTTTGTTCCCTCTTTTCCTCCCTTTAAAAACAAGTCATTTATAACAACTATATATTCATTCAACATGTACTTATTGCATGACTGTTCCAGATAGCATCCTAAGATTCAAAGAAATGTTACCAATTGTCATAAAGATTGACCTCTAAGTTTAGTCATAGTTTAAATGACTTGAGTGTGAAGAACTTTGAATCCTCTAAGTTAAAAAGTAATTAAAAAGATAGTATAGCAGTATTAATCAAGCTGGAAGGAATCAGGCTTTTTCAATCAACATGGAAGTAAACTTTTCATCACAGTAGAAGGTAAAAGTAAACTAGCTTGTAAACTAGTAAACTAGGTTTACTGTCTTCTATTTGACTTAATTTACATGTGAGGCATCAGAAGTTATTCTCTTAGATTTACTCTTCCTTTTGCAAGTTGATTAACTTCTACTATCAGTACATATTTTCATGATATTCCTAGCATTTCTATAATAGACAAGGAAAAATTACTTTAAAAATAAGGATAAAAGAAAAGAATGGTTAGGGTAAGCGCCTAAGCATTATTCAGGGGAGATAATGGGACTAGGATAATTTTAAACAGTTTTGACAAATATGACTGATAGAAATGCCAAACTACAAAGTTAAACATAAGCTACACGTAAAAACAAATGTTCAAGTAACAGAAAGTCTACCCATCCCAACAAAGATGGCAAATGGCTTTCCACTTGTATGCCATCTTTGATCAATTGCAGAAGCCTGCCTAAAGTGCTATGTTGAAAAGAATTTGGAACCGAGTACTGCTGGGAGGGGGGGGGGGAGAATTGCCACAATTGATTAGCAATGTCTGTCATGAATGGAAATGAATGGAAACTGGGAGAACAGCAACACATGGGCCACATAGTTGTCATTCTTGATTTTGAATTGAGTATTGGAAGTGTGTTCTCAGAGAGAAGAGCTGAAAATTAGAAAAGAGCTAACAGTTTTCACTACCTATGACTTTCCAAAATAAATCTGATTCTAGGTTAGAGCACTCACATGCATTCATCCAATAAGGGCATTCAAATGCTCTCAACAACCCAACATTTCCCCAAATTTGGATAAACAGTCATGCATTTAACTGAGGAAAAATCTTAAAATAGGGAGAAGATCCACTTTATCATTGTTTAGTATAAAAATTACAGAATCCAAACAAACATTTTGGAATGAACAATGAAAACCATAGTTATAATTCAAGTTACCCTTGCCTCCTAGGTATTTATGTCCTTCAATTTTGTATTTGTTCCTTCATGCACATGACAATAATAATTCTAATTACATTTGAAATGAAAGAGTGCAAAGCAAATGCGTCAGCATAAATACACACAAATTTCTGCCACATCTACTTTAGAAGTACTTGAAATCATTTTCTCTGTTCAAGTGGTACAAATGAAATTCAGGCCTAAAACAAGTTTTACTGAAGTGCCACATCACAAAGAAACACTCATATTTTTACCTCACCAAGAGAAATGTAGAACTTTTTCATAATGACAGTATTGTCTTCTTCAGTAACAGGAGGCGGTGGAGTGGGTGGTTTTCTCAGGACCCAGGGAGAAATATCTGTACCTACTGTGACAGTCATGCCTGATTCGCTCCATCTGACTTGTGAGACCAGTTTAGCTAACCTGCATTTTTAGAAAAAAATAAACTGGAAATAAGTTTTCAAACATGATAGAACTAGAAAAAAAGTAACCCTGGAATTTTATTATATCCAAGCCAATCTCCCCTCCTAATGCATGCTATTTCTCTTAGGATCTGCTAAACTTCATGCTTCATTTAAAGTACCACCAATTAATAATTATTGTTTGATTATTTTTTATATTTGAAGTGCTTATTCAAAGCAATGATCAACATTTTTAGTAAAATTTCAGAATGTTTAGGTACTTAACACTTGTTGGAGAATATAAAAGAAAAAATTGGCCCCATGCTACACTGTTCCTTTTTTTAAATGACACATATACCCATTTTTAACACCCTGCATATACATATCATTATCACAATTTTAAATTTACAATAATCAAAGAAGCACAACTGAAGTGCATTTACTAAGTACTGTTTTTGTGACATCTCTTTAGAAAATTATATGATTTATACCAATGTACTATCACCTATAGCAAGTGGGATCTAAAATCAAATGCGTTAAAAAAGTGGGCCCTCCCTGGTGCACAATGGATTAGGATGCAGCACTGCAAGTGAGCTGCAGCCTCTTCAGTGCAAGTTTGATCCCCACCCCTGAGGTGACCCACATGGCACGGCAGACCTCTCCCAACCCACCCACTGCTCCTCTCAGCAGTGTACTTCATCAATCAACCTATTCTGCTCCCCATTCTGTCTCTGGTGAATACTCTCACCCCCTGCAACTCTGGCCTGTACCTCAGCTCTGTATGCATAAATAAATCTTTAAAAAAAAAAAAGTTGAAAATGTCAGTAAGAAAGTACAGAAAATTATTTTAGATTAAACATATAGGTATTTAAAAACATTATGTTAATGTTTTTAATGATTAATACCTGTATTCAAAGTAGCAATCACTTTCCAAAAATGCTGGGAGTCTTTCTTTTTTGACCCATTTAATACCTTGTTCTCGGCTAAGACACTATTATAAGACAAGAGAAAAAGAAAAGGAATGTCAAAGAAGACCGCACTTTGGGACAATTAAAGCCTGACCACTAGGGCCACAATGGTCATGAGCTACTACTAGTAGCCCAGACCCCAACTTCTATTTGTACAAGAGAGAGCAGAGTCCCGGTTACAAATTTGTTTTCTGATACTTCTTTAATTTTCTCAACACCCCTGTATCAATTACTAACTCCACTTTACAGGTGAACAAATTGAATCCAGAAAAGTCAGGTAACTTATTGAACAAAGGAATAAGGAAAAATGTCAGCCAGTTTCAACATTTCACAATCATAAGTTGGGTTAAAAATTATCACAAACAGAAAAAGAGCTAACCACAACAAAAACAGTTAGGGCCACCATGGTTATGTCTGAACGCTTGTCCAGGCATTAAAATTCCCAGGCATTATCCTAACAAGAGAGGAGTTTGCAAGTAAGTCATTTAGCAAAAAAGTAGAGTGGCAATACCATAAGTTCAGGCTTGTGTGGGAGACCATGTGGCATGAAAGCACATCAGGATCTCCCTTAGAACATGTCACTCATTCTTTGACCTGCAAGATTAGTGAGGCTGTGAAGAGGAAGGTTGAAGAGAGCAAAGGAGAGAACATAACGATAAGGGCACAGGAGACAAAAATTAGCATTAACTGGAGGTCACAGGGTGAGATCAGAGAGGAAAAGAGTGGAAGTTTAGAAAAGTAGACAGTATAGATGATCAATTGTCTTTTAAAAAATATTAAGGGATTTTTTAAAATTCTATTTTGTCACAGATTCACTTTTTCCAGAATTCAAAAGAATGCCAGCACCTTGGACATTAAATAAATGATACTAATAAATAATGTACTCACCTTAGGAGGCAAATGTGCCTGCATTTCTGGGCTTCCACTGAGTATCTTGCTAAAACACCAACTTTACTGTGGGATTAATTTGGGAGTCAGCATTGACCAGACTCACAGCATTGAGAAAATCAAAGGCTCGCACAACTGTTTTGCCAACATCTGACAAGCCCCTGTTCTTAAGAACACCCTGAGCTCAACACTGCTGGTGTGAGGCCTGAAGTAATGGGGTTCCCAGGACAGGAAAGCTGACCCCACACGCCTTCATTCCTGTTCAGTACGGAAGGCCCATTTGCCTTTACCAAAGATGACCTTCAGGGCAAAGAAAGAATTTACTTTGGACACAGCCAGCACCTGAAGTAGCATCTTGCTGATTGTTCCATTCATTTCTGATGAGATCTGGAGGACATTAGACTTTGTGCAGGAAGACTCCAAACACACCTCCATGCACTCAGTATCCTGAGAATCACCAGGGACTCCTGAGTTCTCATTAGCAATGCGGTCAAGGTATCTCAGAAAGACATCAAGCTTCATGTATAGACCAAGATAACACTTGCAGAATTCTACAAGATTGCAGGACTAGGCATGTCAAACAAAATCAACTTATGCATTATTTACCTCAGAAACAGTTCACTTATAATGTAGCCTCTTTTGAATATTTTTGCAACTGACCAAAAATTTAAATGAAAGAAAATAGTTTTAAAAGAATAAAATCAAAATTGAAACTTCAAAATGTGCTTTATGGCCTAGAACGTGATCTAACTTGGGAAATATTTCAGATATACTTGAAAAAACTTAAAATGTACTCTGCTGTTGTGAAGTCATCGATAAGCATCAGGTCACTCGACTAGGGCACTAATGTTCAGTTCTATATTTTTCCTTTTGATTTTCTATTTTTCTTATACATTAATGGGAGAACAATGCTAAGTCTCAACTAAAACTAGATTTGTCCACGTCCCCTTTCAATGCTGTCAGTTTTAGTTTCATGTTTTCTGAAGTTGTGTCATCCTTGCATATTAAGAGTTAGTATGCTTTCTTGGTGAACTGACTCTTTTCTCATGAGGTAAAATGCCGCTATCCATAGCAAGAGTCCTAATTCTGAAGTCTTTATTGTCTGATATTAACATTACCACTAAACTTTAAGTCTGTAATTGTATGGCATAGCTTTTCTCCTTTTTTTTTTTTTCACTTTTAAACTTATTTATGTATTCTATTTAAGGTAGGTTTCTTGTAGACAAAAAGTAGTTGGGTCTCACTCTGATTTTTAATAGGAGTGTTTAGGTTATTCAAATTTTATGTAATTACTTATGTATGTTATTAATGTGCTATGATATGGTTTGCTTAAAATCTATCATCTTGTACTTTTATTTGTTCTATATATTCTTTGTTCCTTCTCCCCTCACTGTCTATTTTTGGTTTGTGTACTTTTTTCCCTTTTACTCAACTATCATTGTATTATTTGTACCTCTTTTTTAAAAATGTTTCAATTACTACCTTACTGTTTTCAAGGTGGATATTTAATTAATTGTAATTCAGACATAGCAAATAAGGTCACCCAGTAGATCTGTTTGAGAAACTTGTGTCAAAACTTGTAACTCAAATTAAGAAGTTCCTAAATAGTTTTTTATTAGCAACAGCTAGATTTGAAGACCTCTATGAAGTAGAAAATTTCTATTCACAGATGAAAATGAAAATAACCGACAAATATCATTGTCATACCTAGTAAAAAAATTGTCATAAACAATTTATTTTGCTCTATGTGGTTTAAAATGTTCCTGATTTAGCCTCAAAACAATACTATAACATAGTTATATTTTAATATTGTATTATTATTAATGTATTGAATTTGATGGAAGGAAATGAGAAAAATAGAAATATTATATTCAATAAAAGAGGAAGTGAAGAACTTTCAGATGTCTATATGTTAGGGGTTAGACGTATTTTAGCTTATATCTATTACACATTTTAAACCAATGGAGAATAGTAATGTTAAGCATTCAGTACTAGTTTCATTTGAGTTACACAATGAATGCAAGTACACAAGTTGTATGTAGTAAAGACATCATTTGGGAAGTAACAAAAGTGATGTTCATCAAAATGACTTATTCCAGAACATAGAGTCAATAAGTTGAAAAACCAATATTAGAACACAGGAGTTTGTGTTGTGGTTTCTTTATTCATGGTACAGAGGTAACATGCGGAAGCTGAGAGTGGGATTTGAGACAAGGAAGTTAGACAATGTAAACTGAGGGTCAGAAATCTCAAGTCCCAACTGCTTCACAGGATAGAGCCCAAATGAAATAAACTTGTGGTATATCACATTTTCTAGAATGCATTAAACTATAAAGGATACACGTATTTATATTGTCCCAAATTAACCTGATATTCTAAATATTCACAGTGAATTACATAAACCTTCTCACACTAATCATCAATGGTAAAAGTGCTAGACTAAAAATGATATTTGATATGTATAAGAGGATACAGAAACTAACAAATATGTATAAACATATACTCCTATGTTAACACATAAGAGATACAGAGAAACTTCAGGTTAATCTGGCCCAATATTTTACCTACCTAGCAAGATATAAACTCAAAAATACTTTCTTACCATAATATTATAATTGATATTTATGGTCTCATCTTCATAGGGGGCCTTCATCTGGAGAACTTTAACATCATTTTTTCCTTTCCTCACAACATCATAAATGGGATTTCGAGGTTGCTGGCTTTGTAGAATTTTTTTCAGTTGCTTTTCCAGAAGTTGTGGAGCATTGTTAACTACTTCAAAAACTCCATAATCTGCATTAAATCTAAGTGCCTGTGAAAAGGTCTGCAAAATAAATTGATAGCACTATGTTCTAAAATATTAAAAAACAAACAAACAGAAACTCATTGCTTCCAAGAATACTTGATACTTACTTAAATGCATAGACACAACATTCTGTGCTCTTAATTACTCCCTTTTCCCATTTCAGGACCTGGAAATCTTTCAACTATAGGTAAGTGGGCCCAATGAATCCTTCCTTTTCAAAGGACATATCTCATGAGGTTAATTGTCAGGCTAAGTTATGGACAGATTTCCTTAGTATAAACAACTTACCTCCATGCTTCTTTGGAACTGGAAAGAAATACACACCTAGTCTCTATGAAGCAATGTTATCCTAGAAGGAGATGGGTTACTAGGGAAGGGTGAGTAAAGGAAGAAGAAATAACATTCCTGCTATCTCTTTCATCCCCAGGAACTATGAAAGCTAAAGTCTCCCTGGCCTAGGAGGAAAAAATTAAGTACAATGTGTTCTTCATTTAAGACAATTTCAACACCATTCTTTTCAGTGTGACCAAAAAATAGTGAAAGACAATAACATTTCTGAGCTTTTCTCAGTAATTACTAAATGCTGCCAACTTCTATGTAAAGTCAGTCAGTTAATACACAACAGCCAGAAAATCCTGAGTTGAATGCCAGCTTGCCAATAAGTAGCTCTGTGACACTGAGTAAATCATCGAACATGTTCTAAACCTCCATCTTCCTAACAAGTAAATGTTAAATTGCTTTATCGTTTCCCATTTTGCCCTACAAACCTAGATTCAGGTTGATTTTCGAATGTTAATTTATTTTAGGATAACGTCTGTGAATTGCCTACTCATGTAAAGTTGTATATAGTTTAGTCATGTGGAAGACATTAGCTCTTCCCTTGGATCAGTAAGTGTCCTAGGGACAACATTAATTCTTTCAAGTTTTACTAAGAGATTGTTAGATGTACTATAATTAAATGGCAAGACGTAGTAAAACTAGAATGAGAAACACAATGTATATATACATATACCCGTGTGTGTGTGGTGTGTTTATGCTGAACAACACCACCTCTGTAAAGTCTGTGTTGTCTCCCCTTCTACAAAACTGCAAGTGCACAGAAGACAGAATTCAATATGAGTATCAGCCCACAATCCAGTGCTCTCAGGGCTAAGATTTTGCCTCCAAATGACAAGTACAGGTCAAGGGATAAGTAACAATAATTAGCAGTAAATTACATTTAACTTTTCTGCAAAAAATAAATTTCATTGGTTGTATATTGTATGTAACTTTCAAGCATAGAATTCACAGGGGCACCACTTACCTAGAAGTTAAATATTATCACTGAATTAAACTATGACTAAACTAAACAGATAAGTCTGCTGACATGAGAAGCCAAGTTCATTTGTTTGGGAAAAGGAGTTAAATTAAACTTGGTAGAGAACAAACATCAAATACTACCTGGGTATGGGGAAAATGGAGCAGTATAATGAGAATGCCATCTGGAAATGATATCTTCTATCCCTGAGTCCTCACAGAGTAAGAAAACAAGCTTGCCCTCTATTTACTGCTTTCCTTTCTTTTTTCTGTCTCCTACCCTAATATCTGCTAGCCAGAGGAACATCAAGCTGTGATAGGCCAAAGCAAAGAATATCAATTATTTAGTTCTCTGAACTGGAGTTCCTGATAATAAAGTAGAAATGATGTAGAGACCCTCACTAGCCATTCCGGCTTGGAGAGAGTAGTTAAGGTACAGTTGGTAGACATAACAGGAGTGATAAGAACTATGTTTACTAAACATCTGCCATGGGCTAGGCATGGGATGGACACTTCACATTTAAATCTGGAATCTTTCCATATAATCTTGAGGTGACTATTTACAGGAAATGATGCTCAGGAAGTTTAAGTGATTGTCCATGGACTTGGAACTACAAAGTTCTAGATCAGGACTAAAGAAACAAATCTATTTGGTCTTGCAAATATTATATTTCTCCTTCTTAACTGTACTGCCTCACAGACGGTAGAACTATTATAACCTAACTACCTTCTTGATGCTAGGCAGACTACTCACACCCCACAGCAGAGCCATCCCCATGCTCTGGGAAGTCTGGATATTACCTCAGAGCTGTCAGAACCAGGCTTCAGTGTGTAACTATTAACTCTCTGGATGGGTTACTGTCCCGATCACACAAAGAGGCCAGGGTTGGTTTAAAGGCAGGTAGTTGGCACTTTTATTTTCAACTTACAAAGCCAAACTTTGCAGCTGTTGTTACATGATCTCTTCATGGTTTTATAGCAAGTCCTCTAATAAGCTTACTACAGAACTTGACCACAAATTGCTTTATGCCCAGGACTGGATTTATGCCTAAGTCCAGCCAGGCTTGTAGTGGATGCTCCAGGCTGGCTCACTCAGGACCCATTCTAACCTCTGCAATACAGTCTGGACAGCTAAAAACCATATTGGGCAGATACCTTTATAGCTACATTGTCATGTGCAATTTAGGTACTGCCACTCATAGGCACTCATTAAAATACTTGAATTCTGAGCTAAGTGGGGAATGAGTTGTGGTGTTTACATTCTGAGGGAAAAAAAACTGAAGTATGTGAACACAGGAAAGTAAGGAGAGAGACTGGTGAAAAAGATCTACTTTACAAAAGAAGGAAAACTCATTGTGTTTATGAAATGCCTCTATTATTTAAAAAAAAATCTTCATTGAAAAAGATCTTTTCCCAAAAGTAAATAACTATTTTCCCATATAAAAAGCCATGAGTCACTGGACTATGGTGATGGTACACAGGTGATTTGGTGATGGGAAACCCCCAGGGATTACAACTGAGGTGGGAAAGTGCACAAAGTGATGTAAAAATAAACTATTATTAAAAAAACAGCCATGAGTTAGAGTAAATCTCCAAAGAAGTTTGATAGTAATGTGATTATAAGATTCTAAAAATAGCAAAAAAACTTCTCCTTGTTAAAGGAATCAAAACTTTTCCTAGGTCATTTATTAACAAACCTTTAGTGAACACATTTCATCTAACAACTATTTGAAGGCAGATATTTAAATACAGAGACAATAAAGATTAATTACACAAGAGGAAATGGGCTCTTACAATCAATGTATAAGTGGTGCATAATTAGTCAAAGTTATTCTCTCAAATCTTTGAAAACATCTATAAAGCACCAAGTTGTTCTATCAAGATGTTTATCACAGTCACTTCCCCCCTGGTATTGAGCAGGTCACTTATTCTTCAGGTAGGGACCAGATAAAGTGGTAGGCTTTAAAGCTCATATTATATATATATATATGTTTAAAGCTCATATTATATAAAAATACATGTCTCTAGCACCCTCAGCATCAGATGACCACATTCATTATAAATAGCTAGAAGGATAAAAGATAAATAAGAATGGCAGCTTTCTTTCATCTATATTTCACTCTCTCCTAAAGTGGAAAGTTTAGAGGTTGATATATGTGTGTCTTGGTTAGTAAAACAGATTAAAATCACCCTCAGTCTTCAAATCACCCTTATTCACTCAGCAGAGCATGGGTAACAAACATTGCAATTCTGTTTTAATACAGAAAAACTACAATAGAAGTATGTACACAATAGAGTGGTGGTACAGGATTCATTAGCTATCTTCAATAAACGAAAATAGATGTATATAGAGAGTTGGCTCATAACAAATAAACAGACATTCTCATCAGGTAGATCAGAGCAAGAAAGGAATACAGCCAAAAAAACAACAAATGTATCACCATACAGAAGCACAAAACAAAAGGGAATCATTTAATTGATGAACCTTTAAGTCTGACATGGCTAAAGCTTAATAGTTGAGGCTATGGTAACAGGATACATGCCTGGAAAGAAAGTCAGATAATTAGTTCATCAAGCACTTTCTCTCATATGCTATAATTCTCAACTTATCTCTTTTAAATCTTATTTTTTTTATTTGAGGAAACCAGAGTTCACAGTACTGTATATGACTCAGAGATGTGGGATCAGTCCTCTTCAGATGTATGTTACTCTATCAAATTAGTAGTTCTCAGTGAGTAGTCCCTGAACCAGCTGCAGCAGCAAGACCTAGGAACCTATCAGAAATGCAAATTACAAGACTCTCCCTATAATCAGAAACCTTGGGGGAGTATTTGGGGCTTAACAAGCCTTCATGTGCTTCTGAAGCAGTGCTTAACAATGAGGGGGAACCACTGAAGAGTTTTTAGCTGGGAGAGAGATTCCTGGTTAAGACAGCCTGCAAGCACACATTCATTCTGTCTGCTATCATGTGTGTTCATATGACTGGAGAGGCTGACCATCTATGTTCAATACACAAAAGAAAGACCCTTGGTCTTGGTCCTGTTGCCTACAGTCCCAAAGACCCGTTGTCTGCATAAAAGAGAATTTCGCTCAAACATCAAGTCCTTTGTTTTTGCCATTTCTAGGTTTATCTACCCCTTAAGGTTAGCTTATGTTGATGATAAAAGGTGTGGGAGATAGAAATGAGTGATGTAGGAAGTCTTTTCCCCAGAAAGCTGAGCAGGCTGATTTAGAGAACACTCAGCTTTTAATCATATGACAGGAAAAAATCTTCTGTTTGAGCCTCAAACCCAATCCTCCACAAACTGTTACAGACTGCTCTTTCCCTTACTTAATTTTCCTATTTCAAGAGTATCGGTTTCCAAATGTTCTAAAATGAACTGACCTGAAGGTGGTGAAAGCTAACTTTGTAGTACCAGTCATCCATGTGCGAAAAATATTTTCACAGAAAAAGCAAGTGCATGAAAATATTTTTACCACAATAAATTGCTGGTTCCACATTTCTTTGAAAAGAGGAGGAAAAAAAAAAAACCTGTGAATAATTAGTGATGTGCTTAAACTGCCAGCCCAGCACCACTGAAACTTATCGGGTGCCAAATTATTTAGCTGAACAGTATTTAAATTAAAAACTAATGACTAGGTTAATTTAATACATGTTCATCTCGGCTCCAACTCTGTCTCTACTAATTGAGCTCCAAAGCTATATTTTAAACATGCATCCT